CCACCGATGCTCCACAGTCCATCTTTTTAAACGGAAAGGAACATTTTGAACTATGTATTCCAAAGTTTTTTCGCTTAGTAGAGCTGTAATTCTTTAAACAAAAGTTTTCGAAGTTTGGCTAGTCGTTAGGAAGTTTGGCTGAGACCAAAATGTTCCTTTCCGTTTAAAAAGATGGACTGTGGAGCATCGGTGGTGGGTTGGTTTCGCGAGAGTAAACGGTGATTTTTAGTTACTCCTTATAATCTAATTTTCTGATTGTAACTGTACCGTTAATAGATGCAGTTGGTTTATTAGAAAATGTACCATTTAATGGTAATTGTAATGCATAATTATTATCAGCATAATTTCCACTACATCGAGTGTTCTGTTGACATGTAAGTTTATTATTCGTTGCAATAAATATTGGTGCTGTACGTGTTGCTGACGTATAACCAATATAAATTGCTTTAAAAGTTATTGTTTTACTAGTACACTGCCATGTACCCAATGTATTACCGGTAGGATTTTGCGGTTCATTTTCATTTTGACCAGCACCAAAGACTACACCATTACGATAGAGAATTAGTACACTTTGAACAGTGAGTTTAAATGGTGTTGTAATGGTGATAGTTATTGAATAAATACCGGAATATGTTAAATGACATGATTTAATAATTGGTGTAACATAAAGTCGACTGACTCTAAATGTCTATGGTGATGAAGTTAGTAGAGCACCACTGCGAAATGGCATACGCTGGTATTGTAATGGATAATACAGTTCTTGTTGTGTTCCTAAACAATTATCATATGAGGTAGATGATGGGCATTGAATATAGAATGTTGACGAAATCATCTTTTGTCCTTTGGTTTGTGTATTTGCTGGATAAGTAAAATAATTTGATTGTCCACTCATTGATTGACTAGTCGTAGAACAAAACCATATACCTAAGTATATATAATAAAAAGTCAACTGAAGGGGAGAACTTTGTCTCAGAAAATGTCAGTTTCGCACAAAACTACAGTGTTAGGGTGTTGTTACGAATAGAGTAGCCCCAAGTGTCTACTGACAAAATCAGTACTGATATTCACAATGGCAAAGGATTTAGTGGGTTATGATTGATTCTTCTAAAAACTTTGACAAAGCCTGCTTTCTGAAAACCCAAATAGACGACGAAAGACTGATAATTTCTGTTTCTATGATTAAGCAGCTTTTTGTAGATCAAACTCTTCCTATAAAATGAGACATCGTAGACATCTTTACAGTGTCTTGTTAGGCGTTCTGCTACGAGCATCAAAACTCACTCTTCGCATTATTCTTTTGCTTTGCCATTGGGCCATTTTGACACTAGTGTACCGCACCTTGATGTCGAGGTCTCTGTCAAGGTAAAAGTTGAGATTTCTAGTTCTTTTCAAATGATATAGGAAACCTATAGCCACAAATTTGTGCAGGGCCTTTTAAAATTCGATCTCGTTCTCAAGATAATGTAAGAACATCGACATTCAAAAATGACAGTTACCGTGGTTCTTCGTAAAACTACTGCCAATATTTCTCGAATTTCGAAAACGTTTACGCATCTTTGTAGCTACAGGTCTCCCTCTATTGTTTAAAAAACAGCATTCATTAGCTTCAATACAGCCGGAATACTCGGTACGGTCGCGGTAGCTTATGTTTACGCTTGACTTACTAATAGCTCGATAAAATTAAAACTTGAGTTGTTGTAGATTTTATTATAACTAAGTTACATCAAGGCACACATTTCCTAAAATTTTAGCCAAATGATGCGTTTAGAAAACACATTTCGGAGGGAAGTCCGTCCCCTCCTTAAACAATATGATCGTTTATCTGTTAGGTGATCAGTCGATGACATAACAGGAAGAAACAATCAGATAATAGCTGGAAGGAATACTGAAAATGACCTCAACCTGTCTTCGCTACATATTTAATTCTGCTATACACGTCCTTTTTTTGCATCACCGACTTCGACCATCCATGTATCGAATTCAGACGAAAAACCTTGTCAGCACATATCCAGCGAAGGTAAAAAGTGAAACTCCATCGCTATTAGTCCATAAAAATATCTTTAATTAAAAATTACAAAACTGTTTGGGAAAATGCTCGAAGACATTCATTTGGACATCACGCCATATCGTTTTACGTGGGATCTGTCTAAGTGCAAAAATCAGCTAATCTGAGATAGCTTTCCATCTAGTCTGCATACTTTCTAAAAATAACTCACTATTATGAACAGAACGAGAAAAGAACTTTTGATAAAAGAATCAATAACTTACCGACACTTGTACCACGATTAAATGTCCCGTCTTTATTTCGTTTATTAGATGTAACACTGATCAAATAGCCCAATGGAGTAAACGCTACTAAAGCATAAATACCATTAGCATATCGTACCACATAGATGCCACCCATTTTTGAATAACATGTATCCCTAGTCTCAGTTAATGTCACAGTTGGATGTGTATAGAGTCTTTGTGACTGATATTGTCTGTTGGTTTTGGGTGGTATTGGATGTGTATAAACACCAGTTTTGGGATCCGGTGCTTCAAATTTATAAAATTGTGTAGATACATTTCCCTTCGGACATTGAACGACATCATCGCTACAATCATTGCTAGCACCCTGACATGTGCTCATCGATTTCGTTAGACCAATACTCTTATTACCAGATTCACCAAAGTAGATACCGTTAAATCTTAACATCTGTTTGGTGCCGCCATTTGATGATTGGCTGCAGTTGTAGAATCCTATTCGATCACTGAAATATTGATTTGAATTTAATTTTGCAGTAGAATCCAGCTGTAATACACCACCCAATGGAAAGTAAAAGAGCAGTGAGTAATCGTTACCAGTATTGAATTTTCTTAAATAAATTCCACTAACATCATTAAAACATTTTGGTATTTGAACAGCAGCTATTGTTGTAATTATCAATCCCAGTAATAAAACAGATTGACTATTGATGAAGAAAGGTGCTGACATGTTTTCTTTCGTTCGATTGTTTGCTGTATTAAAGCATTAAATGACTGCTTGTATGGTCTGCTCTAATAATTTATAATACTCATACACGTACGTGCATGGAAACGGCATAATAATTAAAAACAAGACAAAGCGATTTTGTTTCTTAATGTATAACGTTATTTGCATCTCATGAAAAACAATCGCCATCTCTTTGTCTTTCTTTATACTCCTACCTTTTTCTACAGTTAGCTTGTGCACGTTTTGTGTACTGCAACGTCCGAACAGTAATGTACTAACAAAGGTCAACTACAAAAAGCAATAATAGAAAATGAACATTAAACAACAAGACAGCGAATGGGAGAAAAACAAAATATTATCCAACAATTTATTATGCTTTCTACAAAGGTGATAGTTATGAGATGCAAATAACGTTATACAACAAGAAAAACAAATTACTTTCTCTTGACTTTTTTATTGTGCTTATAAGAATAGCATACCGATCCGAATGTATCTGTTAAAATGAATAAAAAAAAAGACAATAGCACAGAAAAGGAAAGAATATTCTGAATAATTATTATCACGTTTTCATGCACGTGTGTGTATGAGTACTCTTTTAACTGCTGTACCCCATATTCTCTATACCATCTAGTGTAAATAAAAACAGAAGAACAAGCGACGAGCCGTGTCTAACACCAGAAGGCTACCTTTCATCGACACGTTAGAATTGTTTTCCTTCTGTTGAAAATTCTCATATCTTCTGTACAGAATAATATTGCACTAGAACATGTTGATTATTCGTTTTGTTTGTTCGTTATTTGGTGTATTGATATCCATTATGACTGAAAACTGGTTTGTCTTTTTCAGTAGACGTGAAAATCAACATTTTGCATTTCATCTGCTCAACCGGATTTTGTGCTTAGAATTAATGAAAAATCTTGTTACTTCTGAAGGCTCCTAAAGAGCCTTCTCAAAGACCAAAGTAGTCAACTGACTTTTAGAAGTTCAGTTGAAGTCGGTGATATAGTGCAGATAAAATACTTAAAACATACTTCCGGATGTTTTACAACCGCCTATTCGTTACAGAAAAGCCCAAGCCTTGGAAACCTGGACTGATTCTTACTACGCGCGCACTCCTCGAGACTGCCTTTCTGTAACTTTTCACTCAACTCATGTTGAGATTATATACGTAGAACATCACCGAAATAAAACGGTGATAACATTCTAGCGTATCCAGAGAAAGACAAACATATTATCACAATTCTCTAAGAATCACGGGAGTTTATTGCGGTTAAAGGAAGAACAATCATTTTGATTGAGCTATTGACCCTTCCGAATGGTACGCAGACTATGCGAGAAGTGTATTTCATAATGAATGGTTCGATAATATTTTGTTTTTCTCCCATTCGCTGTCATTTTTGTAGTGTTGATTTTCTTTTATTGCTTTTTGTAGCATAACTAGCAATGTGTAAGAATTTCCAGTGGGTTTCCGAAAGATTTCAGAGATGCTTTTGATAAACATTGAGAAAAGGACGTTCACCTATACCTGAAATGCATTCATGGCATTGTATGAAATACACTTCTCGCACAGTCTGTATACCATTCGGAGGGGTCAATAGCATACACTCTCAGGTAACTGGTAACTGTCATAGCTCTACTCTGATGGCGGTGTCAATAGCCATCCCGCTGAAATATTCCACTTTTTGACTTTTTAAAATACAGTTCATCGAATTTTATTAATAAAGCATGCGATACTGTGCTACAACTGAACTTCAAATTTTTAGACCGCAGAAGCATACACTCTCAGATATCCCCATTCTACTCGGATTTCAAAAACTTGAAAAAGACGGGATGCAATAAGAAACGAGGATCAACCTCATTTCCGATCTTCTCGAAAGGTATCTAGAATGAAAGAGCATACAATGTTATGGGGTTCTACACTCTTCGTTCCCCTTCGGACCTCATATCTGTCAGAAAATCGATCAACTTTGAACAATAGCTCCGCGAGCCCATTTCGAGCCGTTTTTCGTAATTTTCTCAGCAAATAATCAAGTACGTCTCTGAGGAAAGTGCATTCATAGCTAATCGACCATGGCACTACGGATGGCGCATTATAGTTACTCGATGTTACTTTACGAGATAAATAACGAAGTTAGTTACTCGTCACTAGTAAAGAGGTTACTAAAGGAGTTACTTCGTTGCTAGTAACGAGTAACTAATTTCGTTACTATTTACAAGCAAAGTAAAGGAAAGGTGCCACCCTAATATGGCACATCCGATGGGCATATGTTCGAGGTTCTCAAATAATCTCCAGCTAACATTTTCAGAAATACCGGGAATCCAAGCTGAGACAAGAAATCTTAAGTATAAATTGATTACGGCGTATCTAATAGGCATATAACCAGCACTTTGTAAGAATTTCCAGTGGCTAAGAAGTACTTGGCTAAGAAGTACTTTCTGAAAGTACTTGGAAAATAAGGACAAGTACTTACAAGTGTCTTTACTTCTGGAAAAAAGGCCAGTACCGGCATCATTACGCAGACGCAGTATTTGGCCCCAAGTACGTTCTCTAGAGGGTTGTTTGCGATTGATATTTTGAGTTTTCAGGAAGCGACAAAGTGATAACCCAAATTCACAAGTACACGATTTCTAAATAACGTTGCGAAAAAGTCCAGAAAATAACTTCTTTAAACTTTCTCAACATACATTTGTACTATCCCTAGTGAATGTACTTGCGGATGGGTACTTCCTTACTTGCCAATTTCTGCGGATACTTGACATGCATTATAGTTGTTATTCGCAAATGCGAAATGTATGAAAGAATTAGACAATTCGTAAATGCACCTTGCTGAGCGTGGACGAGTAGCATGAATTTCAAGATTAGATGTTGTTGAAAATTGTCAGCGTTTTAGGAATTCGAAAATGCAACTGTTTGAGGAGTCAGGTAATCCGCAAATACACTTGGCTGTGGATACGTGAATTCTCAGAAAGCGTGCTGACCAGATTATTATGCTATGCCAACCATGAAAATTCAAAAACCTTTTATCTTTATGGGAAAAACTCTGCAAATTGCTCGCTCTTTGTACCTTGCAAACAGCTCGTATGCAAAATCTAAGAATTCGCGGATAACTGTTATACATAGTTTTTGAGACACAATTCTATGTACAAAAATGAAAGTAGCAGTATTATTTCAGTTTTATGAAACTGAATTTCCATTTCTGCTAACCATGATTGCGAATAAAAAAATATAGTTCTCGTAGTCATAATTCAAATTCAGCCCAATTTCAAATTGGACTAGTCATAATTCTGATTGGAATTGTGCCTAGTCACAATTTCAATTAGAATTATGACTTGTCCAACTTGAAACATCTTGCCCGATTTTGTTATACTATTAGTCAAAATTAGATCCTGCCAGATAGGTCTATGTTTAAGCTGAAAATTCTTTACAGCGTATATTCCTGTCTCATCTAGGCTGAAAAACAAAAAAGAAATCAGTTCTCCTCCTCACGCAGTTAGTTATTAGTCTTCTGATGAAAACAAGCAAGGAAAACTGACAGACAAAACTGCCATTCTGTGTCATTCAGTTGTTTTATGAATAAGTAGAACTATAATTATAAGTATAAGTATTAACTTAGACAAATTGGAAAAATATCCCCATTAACAAACAACAACGTCGAACTTGTTCAGATCAACAAAATTCTGTCTCACAGATCATATCCTTGTAAGATAAAGTTTATCTTTCCATTTCGATCTCTGTTTTACAAGGAAAAAGGTAATATTTTATGATGTAACGACAACTGAAACAGAGATGGAGGAATCGAAAAATGTGACTTGAGTGGACTCGAGTCGCATTTTTCTATGACTCGGACTCGAACTCGGTCTCGCACTCAAGTCAAAGACTCGATAAACTGACTGGAGTCGCTTTCGAGTGCGCCACCTGCAACTTGTGACTGTTATGACGGTGTTTATTGTATTTGTTGTATACCAGAGATATTTTAGAATATTACAGGTAGAACATCACGCCATACGAGACGATTGAAAATCTGTTCTGGGAAAAATGAATTAGTGAGAAGTTTTCCTCGTGCAATTTTTGATGTGACTCGGACCTCGACTCGAAGGCTACTGACTCACAGTGGGCATTTTCCCATAGAGCAGGCGAACATCTGATTTTTTGAGTTAGAAAATGATTATTTTAGCATAATATGGTCTTACTATGTGCCAGATATTAGTAGAAGTAGAAAAGGTCGAATTCGATAAAAAAGTTTTTTCGACAAAAAGTTGCTTAGGGGGACCCTTGCCCTGAATTTCGACGACTTTTATTGTTCGAAAAAAATTGTATTTGAAGTGAAAAAATTGGTTTTTACCTTAGAAACGTGGGTTTTTGGAAAAGTAATATCTCAGTCCAGGAAAATATGCACACTTTTGCGCATTTACCATAGATGCATGGCCTCGCGAGGAATATTTTGGTATAAAAATATGTTAATTCAGACCTGCGCTAAGCTGCGCGTTCTCAAAATACCGGAGAGAGTCTTTACAGCCTAGACCGTTTTCGAAAGAATCCATTGGAAAACTCTTAAGTTTCACTCGAAAAACAAAACTTTTTTTTTATTTCGTATTCGTCTGACTGTGCTCTTTCCGAATATGATGTTGGTTTTATTCTAATTTACTATCCTTCAATAAAAATCGAAATTTTCCGAAAAAATAGCACATTTACATGGCGTTTTTGCATTTCAAATCTTTTATCGAAGGAAAAGTCGTAGAATAAGAATTCTTTCGCCATTAAATCGGCCGTCACTCGAAGTATATGAAACAGTATTTAAATTACGAAAAAGTAAGCTCACTATTTTTTTCTAATGAATGCCCACTGTGAGTCAAGAGAGAGCTCTAGGACCTTTTTCAGAACAGTGCCTTGGAATCACGTTCTCTTCTCCATTCAAAGTCAACGTTTCTCCTTAAAACTGAAGAAACCATCAACGAGCTCATGTACTATATTTGTTTCAGGATGATACAAGAAGTGACCGCCA